TTATCAAAAGCTTTATAAAAATGTCAAGAGTGATAGCCTTAGCCTTTAAGAGTGATAGCCTTAGCCTCTCTAAGCTAAGGCTATTACTCTTAATGTGCACTCTTAATGTGCATTAGGTAGCTATCAAATTAGCTACCTAATGCACAGTAAAACCTATCGGTTATTACTGTTACCAAATCAGCTGTAGAACTAGAAGATCAAAATACATATTGATGATCAGAAAATAAGCTATTAGATTAAAGATAAGAAATTAAGTGTTTGTAAAATAAAGATTTAAAGGGACTACCAAGTTGCGAGACATGTTGTGTTCATATTAAAGAGAATGTTAAAAAAAAATGTTTGAGAAAACTTTTTTTGATTAAAACTAATTAATAAATGTATACCAAGAAAAACAAATATTGTTGTTTTAGTCGAAGCTTGTCTTCTCCATTTTCTGCGGTATTTTAAGCATGTAAAAAAACACGATTTTCCAGGCGCATTATACAGACTTGATAATTTATTCAACCGCGTTTAATTTATACGAGTTTTAGTGCATGATGTCATTGGAAACATTCTAGAAATTCTTTAAAAATTTTACTATTAAATTTTACTAAAATAGCTAACTATAGTTACTTATTTTATTAAAAGTTTATTTTATTAATTGTTCGTTAGTTTTTTACAAATCTAACGAACAATTAATTAAACCAAGCACTAAGAAAAGATATAAAAATTAAGAATATATTAATAAAATATATAATTTGTAATTAACTTTCAAAATTTTGACAATTTAAAAAATATATATTATAAAACATTTATTTTTGTAAACAAATGATAATAGTTTAAAAGATTTTCGGCTTTACAGATGTGGCTCCGAGAATGAGCCATAATAATAAAGTAATAGTTCATTTGATAATATATTCTTAAAAAAATTTATGCTAGATATCTCAAAACGCAACAAATCATAAATAATACAATTCCTAAAACATTTCAACAGAATACTCTAGAATTTTATTTCGCTTAGTCAGCGTATTTTTTGAACCAATAGAATTAGTTTGTTCGCAAATTTGGCGAGTTTTTAGTGTTTGCGAATATTCTTTTTATTATTCCACAAGATGTCTTAAGAACATCAAAGTTAATTATGCTTCCATGTATGTCTGTTAAATAAAAATTAATATATATTAATTTTTTTGTTTTTAAGCCCCTGCCATAATATATATTAGATGTTATAATAATGGAAATATAAATAATGAAATAAGATCACCTCAATACCATAAAATATATTTTTGAAAATCAGAGAAAAAATGCGTTAATAATTTTTTTTTTAATATTGACAAAGTAAATTAATAAAAGTGCATTATTATTTAGGTTAAAAATTATTTTATTTAATATTTTGAAAGAAAAACTTATAACAAAAGAAATCAAAATACAAGTTGTCTAGACAATTATTAAAAAAAAGTTGCGCAAATAAAATACTATTTTGTTTTTAATTTTTTTACAAACACATTTTAGAACTTTAAAATATGATAAAAATGAATATAATTTGGAAATTGTATGTAAAAAATAACAATCGGTGTTTCAAACAAACAAACAAAAAAATTTATGACGTCATGCACTAAAACTCCTACGAATTAAACGCTCTTGAATAAATTATTAAGTCTGTATAATGCGCCTGGAAAATCGCGTTTATTTTACATACTCAAAATACCGCAGAAAATAGAGAAGATGAGCTTCAACTAAAACAACAAGATTTGTTTTTCTTGGTATACATTTATTAATTAATTTTAATCAAAAAAAATTTGCTCAGACATTTTTTTTTTAAACATTCTCTTTAATATGAACACAACATATCTCCGGACTTGGTAGTCCTTTTAAAAACATTGCTTATGATAGAAAGAAGACTAATGGAACTAAAAATACTTTCAAAACTATTAACTCTGATAAGCAAAATACTTTCAAAACTATTAAATAGTTTTGAAAGTATGGATAACAGCTCTGGAGAACACTTCTGCAAGACTACAACAGGTATTGTCTGGACCACAAGCTGTAAAAGAGTCTAAGCAGGCAATCAATTTTGATACAGAAGCTGGAGTGATACCAATGTCAAGCAATGGATCAACCTGTTTGATAGCTATATTAGGTAGAATGCAACTAATATCAAGAGATGATATTGATGAAAAGTTCTTAGCAAATAATTCAGCTTTGTCTTTAGGTGAGGTGACAAAGTCAGAACCAAACAAGAGAGGTGGAATAACAGATTTGCTCTTATTATTGATACTATTAAAGATTCTCTAGAAGTCATGAGAGTTTTTGTGATGAAATACAAGATTTTATGAGAATAGCAAGCTTTGGCGTTACACAAAACCGTTTTACAATGGTTCCTAGCAATAGTAAACAGACGTCTGTTTTCTAGACAATTGTTTTGCTGATAGATATAGAAGTAACGGTTCCAATTGGAAATTGCAGCAACACAATGTGAGGAAAATCACAAAAAAGAATGAGGCTTGACCTAGAATCATCGAGAGGGAATAAAAGATTTCATTCCAGCTTGAATCCACAAAGTTATGTAAGAAGCACATTTGTCAGCAGGAAGACGAAAGATTTCTACCCAAGAGCCATCACAAAAAAAATTATGGAAAGAGTTCCAGTCAGCTTTAAAGTAGATGTAAGAGATAAAATAATAGAGGGATTCTGATGATGAAGAAGAATGAGTTTTAGGGAAATCAAACCGTGATCAGAAGCACCTAAGAGTGAATGTGGAGAAACGGAGCACTGACTAGGATCAGAAACAAGACATAGGTCGACTAGAAAAAGTAAATTATTTGGGTTGTCTGGAAAACAAGTTGGAAAGTTGACTATTTGAGTTAGAGATTGAGAAAGGCAAAAGTTAAGGGCCTTAACGCCAGCAGAGTCACTGACACTAGAGCCAAGCCATTCAGCGTGATGATCATCAAAGTCACCAACAACAACTATATTGGCTGATGGATAGAGAGAGAGAGAGGGCTTGGTCAATTTGATCAGAAATAACATTGAAAAAAGTGCAGTCTTGAGATGAAGGAGAACGTAATAGAACAAAGAGATGATAGAATGAAGTGGTGCTAAACGAAAGTACATAAAAGATTAGTCTATGGATTCAAACCTAGTTTTGCGACAAATATGTGAATCCTTACGAATGTAAATGACCAGACCAAGCATGTGACTATTGGAGTCTTTACGAATTAAAGGAGGATAACCATTAACACTAAGATCACAAGATGAGACAGCTGAACTCAAATTAGTCTCACAAAGAGCAAGTAGGTTTGGTGAACTCTGCAAGAGATAAGACTCAACAGAAGAAAAGTTACTTTAAAGACCACGAGTATTATTGAATGATAGGTTTAGAGAACTTGGTGATGATGATGGCTTATCGCATTTTATAGTTTTTGGTACTTTAGCCATTTTAAATATTTTAAAGAACATGACTCAAAGCATAGATAGAACTCAGTACACTATTCAATAGTCCAAGCTTATGATAGGAAGAAGACTAATGGGACGGTAGTGAGATGAATCTGATTGTTCTCCAGAGATTTTGAAAAAAAGGATAACAGATGCCCCTTTCCAGCAGGCTGGAAAACAACTTTCAAGCCTGCTGGAAAGGGGCATCTTGTTACTTGTTAAATAGTTTTGAAAGTATGGGTGACAGCTCTGGAGAACAAAATCTGAACCCTATAAGAGAAGTGGAACAACAGATTTAATAAATATAAAGCACCTAAAGTTAATAAAATAATAATTAAAAAAAAACCTTAGATAATACATACACCAAAAACCCTAACCCCCCACCACCACCCCTATGACCAACAATGTCATTACTATTATTAAATTTATTAAAAATTGATTTTTGAGCTATAATTTAACTAGAAAAATTTGCAACAAATCATTGTAAGTAAAATACTTTTCAATAATATAACCAAAATATGCATTTAAATTTTTTTTTGGTAAATAATGGGGAGGGGATAAATCTAAATTTGTCTGCACTTTCCCTCCTCTGTGAACTATTAATGTTGTAATATTACAATACTTTATATTATTTTTTTTTTCAGATGTAATGTTAAACAATTTATAACAGGATTTTGTATGAAATAAACATAGAATTTCAAGATGTGGTTTTTAGACAAATTTTGGTCAATTTAGGGTTCTAAAATACGGTTTTGGGGACCACTTCCCATTATCAATTTGCAAAAAATTGTTACCATCATACTTTTTTAGCAAACCTTGCCAAATAAAAGATTTTGCAATTTAAAATTCTTAAAAAAAAATTTAAATATAAAAAAACCACCCTATATATTCACCCTAATATTCACATATACACACATAAATAAATATATATGTATATATTATATATATATATATATATATATATATATATATATATATATATATATATATATATATATATATATATATATATATAATATATATAATAAATATAAAATATATAATATATATATATATATAATATATATATATATATATATATATATATATATATAATATATATAATAAATATAATATATATAATATATATAATATAATATATATAATATATATAATATATATATATATATATATATATATATATATATATATATATATATATATATATATACAATATATATATATAATATATATATATATATATATATAATATATATATATATATATATATATACATATATATATATATATATATATATATATATATATATATATATATATATATATATATATATATATATATATATATATATATATATATATATATATATATATATATATATATATATATACATATATATATATATATATATGTACAAATTTTTCTAAAAAATCTTGCAACCAGCAATTAATATATAAAAAATAGTATTTACAAAAGTGTAAAAAATATATATATCTTTTTGCCAAAAATTAATACCAGTTTAAAAAACTAAAGTGCACAGATAATAATCAAGTAATAAATCTATAGTAAATAAAATACTTTAAATCACCTTCTTAAAGTATATTTTGGACCCCATGTTTTCCGCATGTCATCTTTGCTCTAAAAACAATAGTCAACATGTTTAAACTAGGAAATTCCTAAAATGAAAGGATTTTTTACATTCTGATAGTAAAGTTTTACAAAAAAACAAACAAACAAATAATCTTGTTGTTTTAATCTTTCAAAAAATATTTACTTTTTTTTACTTTCAACTATTTTTTTATTTAGATTTTTTCAGACATTTTTTTAAAAGTCATTTAAATTAAAGAATATATGTAAAGAGAAACTTGCATCAAGATTTCCTAATTCATTTGATACTGAAAGATCTGCAAGATCACCAAGCCCCATTGCAACTTCTGTAACATCTGAAACTCCACTATGATTAACTGCAACTAACTTTACTTGACGAGGAGAATATCCACTGCTAGGCAACACAGTGTCACCTAAAAGTTATTTGAAAAAAAACAAAAAAAAAAAACAACAAACAAACAAACAAAAAAATTAAATTAAAACAATATAAAAACAACAACAACAACAATAACAAAAAACAGTTAGATTAGAAATGCTAAATATCAAAATAAGTAAAAAACAAAATTCAGGAATGAATTCAAGAAATTCAAGAAATTTACTTGGAGAACATGCAACAATTATGTTAGCATAAGCTATTGAAAATTATTTTGGTATAATTATTACCATAAATTATTGAATTTTTTTTGTATTAAACAACAAAGTTTGACAAGAGCTGACAGTCATATTTATATAGATATAAAAATTGAAAATTCAAAAACATAGGATTTTTAAACACACTAATTCTTTCATTTGAATATGTAGAAAAAAAAGTTATCTACCAAAACAAAATATCCTATTTAATTAAACTATATCTTTAGGTAACAATAACAATAACGTTTGAAGATTTGATAAACTTTGGAATTCACAATCAGAAAGTTTAATAAATTTGACAATTATAATACAAATTAAAAGTAACTTGGTACACTATTATATAAAAAAGTAATCTCAAAACAAAAGAGCATAACTACACTCAATAGGTTTCCAGCCACAGATTTTAAGTTAATATAAATGTAAACTTCTTTGTTTATAATAACAGAGAAAAATTAATATTCTAGGAGCATTTATATATAATTTATATATTATATATAGGTACAGAGTTTCTTTACCAAATTTACTAAAAACACTTTATTCGTTAAAAAAAGCAAGTGAAAAAAAAAAAAGTCAACATAAAGTTAAGTTTTTCATAATTTATTAAAGTATGTTTGAGAAATAAACATGTCTTAGTAATAGTGCCCATTAGTAGTGTTAGTAGCAGTAGTGCCCATTCGCGCGTGTTTAACATGGAACCCTTGGCAGCCATTGCAACCAAGGTAGTGGCGAAAAAGAGTCACAGCACTTTGTTTTATAAGAAATTGTGAACGAACGTGTTTGCAAATATCTAACATGCGTAAACTTCTATTTAAGTAATGTTAAAACATACTAAAACATTTATCAAGTTTTGAAGTTTGATTTTTACTTGAAAATTGCATTGAGTCAAGCTCTCCTTAATTTTGAACTACTGCATTTCTTTATGTTAAAAAATCATTATAAAATTTAAAAATATTTTTTTTAACAACCAGCGTGGCTGAGTGGATAGCGTGCTAAGCTTCTGAACAAGAAAGCTGTGGTTCCAGTCCTACTAATAACAAATTTTTTAAAAGATTTTTTTCGATTATTTTAAAATACAAAATACTTTTGAAGTTTTATAGAGATTATATACAAACATATGTAACAATATTATACACCATAACGAAAGAAAAGATTTTAAAAAAGCAACATGGAAATAATATTTAGTTGTGAAAAGCTGGCCAGATTTTTTAGTCGTTTTGAGAAAATTTAAAAAATTAGAAAAAAATTGCGCAATAGATTAATTGGACCGATGAAAGAAAATAACAACAACAAAAAAAAAATTAGGAAAATAAAACATCTTTTAACGCGAAAAAACTTAGAGCAAAATAAAATACGCTGAGAACAAATATTTTCGAAACATCGCTCTTTTATAATATTTTTATAAAATTAAGCAACGCTTTTTTATATAAAGTAACATCTTACGATTGTTTAAAAAGGAAACAAATGTTCTTTATTTAACAAAGTTTGCAAGTTTTAGTTTTATCTAAGCTAAATTATTTTATAAATAAAAAAGTTGTTTTTTTTAATACCTATTTTATGTTTCGCGTAGTTTGAAAAGTTTAACATATTTGAAACAATTCATTTATTTAACATATTTTGAAATACTTTATGAGGAGGAAGTGAAACTGCTTCATAATATTGCTGATGATGTTTAGTGAGTGGGCTTTTTAACTTTAATTAGTATTTAAAGTAGAAAAAAGTATAACGAGTTTTTAAGAATGGTAACTTAAGCGAAAATAATTAGTAGTAAACCAATATCTAGAAACTTAGTAAACCAATATCTAGAAACTTTTCTTAATATCTAATAACTTGCTATATATATATTTGTGTTCTGTCGTGACCTCAGGCGCGGTGCTTGTTCATCCACAAGTTACTTTGTATGCATTGTTTGTGCTTAGTAACCAGAAACTTTCTATATGTTTGTTACATAATTAGTTTTATTAACTTTAATGAATATTAATAACTTTATTGAAAACGCAATTATTTTTGTAAGTCTTTGTTTACAAATTAAATCATAAAAATTGCTTTAAAAGATTACATTTTAATAAAAAACAGATACACAAAATTACATTTACATAAAAAATACATACTATTTAAATAAATAATAAGAATATACTAATAAAATCTATAACTTATAATAAACTTTTAAAATTTTGACAATTTAAATAATATATATTCAAAACATTTATTTTTGTAAACAAGTAATAATAGTTTACAAAATTTACAGCTTTGCAGATGTGGCTCCGAGAATGAGCCATAGTATTGATAATATTCTCAAAACAATTTTGCTAGAAATCTCAAAACATAACAAATCGTGATTAATACAATTTCTCAAACATTTCAACAGAATATTCTAGAACTTTATTTCGCTTAGTCAGCCTATCTTTTGAACAAATAGAATTAGTTTGGTCATTAATTTGGCGGGTTTTTAGTGTTCGCAAATATTCTTTTTATTCTTCCGCACCAAGATGTTAAGATGTTTTTAGAACTTTCAAGTTTTTTATTTCCATGTATATTTGTAAAACAAATTTTTTTTGTTTCGTACATAAACTTAAATGTTCTCAAAACAACTAAAAAACCTGGCCAGTTTTTTGCAACTAAATATAATTTCCATGGTCAGTATTGATCATTTTCAGGCTTGGTCAGATCCCTAAGCTTCCTGACCAAGCCTGAAAAAGCTAAAATTTCTAAAAATATCAAAACACTGGCAGAAAGAATTTGTTGCGAAGTCCCATGATTGAGATACTTAAGTTATTAATGTGCTCAGGTAATTAGTCTTAATAAGCTGCAGATTAATGTGCAGATTAATGTGCTCAGGTAATTAGTCTTAATAAGCTGCAGATGGTCTGAAAAAAAAGTTGTCTGAAACTTAATAAAGAAAAAACTAAGACAGTCCTACTACTCGAGAAAGTGCTGCTATAGAGGTAAAAAAAAAAAACTTGGTCAGGAAAGCCCGTAGTGAGAAAAAAATTTTAAACTGGCTTTTGACAATTAAAACTTTTTTTGCTACATTTATTTTTTTACTATATATATGGCTGCAGCCATTTTTCAAAACGCCTTAATATGCTTATTACATGTTTTGAAAAAAACTTATTAAAAAAAATTAAAAATGCTTTTTGAAACAAATAAATTTTAATATTATTCTTTAGTTCTTAATCATATTCATAAGAATGATTTTTTTTTTTTATGTTTTAGTGCTCTAAGATCTTCTTTGTTCCATTTGTATAGCCTTAAGTACAAACGTCTGTAAGCGTAAACGTCTTTAGCATATGTTGAGTTTGCAGGCATTATATGGAATAATTGTGTATATCTATATATCTGTAAAATGAGAAAACTTGAAAATTTTATTTTATCTTATATATTATCTTAAATATCTATAAAATGAGAAGATTTTAAATTTTATTTTCAAATTTAGAAATCTTTTTTGCTTTATCATTATTTTTTTACTATAAATATATAAGCAAAATTGAAAAAATTTCAAAATTTATTACGCTAAGAGGAGGTCTTTAACCCTTCAAAACCACACTGATGACAGTGCACTTAACCGCTGAATTATCAATGAAATGTATTTAGCATAAAAACAAACCTAATTATAAGTCTCTTATAAGCTCAACGTATGCGTAAAAGGTGCGCATTTTTTGCTCTCAAAGTTTTTTTTCAGAATAATTTTTTTTTTTTTTTAAAACATTTGCTTCCAACAAGGCTGCAAGCAACCACTAATTAGTGGTGGAAGTTACTGGAAGAGAAAAGATGAAGATTGTAGAGCAAGATAACGATTGACAGACGACTTAAAAGATTGCAAATTATATGAATCAGGAAAGCAAGTTAAAGGAAGCGAATTCCAAAGAACTAATGTTCCAGGAAAAAAACTTTAGCAGATGGTAATTTTGCAACGGATTTGATATAAGGTTTCCAAGAAAGATCAGAAGTAAGAGTTAATCCTAGAAGATGAAGGGTAGATGACTCATCGAGTACATTACTGTTCATAAATATAGGAAGGTCTAAATTATTGGGATAACGATTGGCTGAGAAAAATTGAGTTTTATCTGAATTAAAGTTCACCAGCCACTGTGAGCCCCATGCTGTAGCAGAAGTGAGATCCTTTTCAAGTTCAAATGCCCCCTCCAAGCAACCAGAGGGAGTTGGCTTCTTATCGTGACAAGAATAAATGGTAGTATCATCAGATGTAAGAATATCTGGAAGATCAAAAGAGTATAGGATCAAGGATTGAACCTTGAGGAACCCCTGAGATGACAGAATAAGAATAAGAGTGCTGTCCATCAAGGACAACATTTATACTACGATTGGAAAGGAAGGACTCGATAATCTTGATTGTTTCCAAATACACCATAAGAATAAATCGTATGGAGAAGACCAGCATGCCAAACTTTATCAAACGCTTTAGAAATGTCAAGAGCGATGCCCTTAACCTCTCCACCTTTATCTGATGCACGATAAAACCTATCGGTTATTACTGTTAGCAAATCAGCTGTAGAATGAGAAGATCGAAATCCATATTGATGATCAGAAAGTAAGTTATTAGATTCAAGATGAGAGATTAAGTGTTTGTTAATTAAAGATTCAAAAACCTTGCTTATGATAGGAAGAAGACTAATGGGATGGTAGTTAGACGAATCAGATCGCTCTTTAGAATTTCTAAAAATAGGGATAACAGATGCTGCTTTCCAGCAGGCTGGAAAACAAGACTCTGATAAGCACTTGTTGAATAGTTTTGAAAGGATAGATGACAGCTCTGGAGAACACGTTTGCAAGACTACAACAGGTATGTTGTCAGGGCCACAAGCTGTAGAGGAGTCTAAGCAGGTAATCAATTTAGATACAGTAGCTGAAGTGATACGGATGTCGAGCAATGGATCAACCTGTTTGACGGCTATATCAGATAGAATGCAACTAATGGAATCAAGAGATGATATTGATGAAAAATTCTTAGCAAATATTCAGCTTTGTCTTTAGGCGAGGTGACAAAGTCTGAACCATACAAAAGAGGTGGAATTACAGACTTGCCCTTATTATTGATACTATTAAAGATTCTCCAGAAGTCACGAGAGCCTAATTTTTGCGATGAAACTTTAATTAACAAAAATTAGCTTCCAGGCTTGACCTGGAATTGTCAAAAGAGAATAAAGGATTTCATGCCAGCCTGAATCCACGAAGATAATGTAAGAAGCACATTTGTCAGCAGGAAGCCAAAAGATTTCTACCCAAGGGCCATCACAAAGAAAATCACGAAAAGAGTCCCAGTCAGCTTTAAGGTAGTTGTAAGATGTACAATGATAGGGGGATTCTGATGATAAAGAAGAATGAGATAATAGTTTTAAAGAGACCAAACCATGATCGGAAGCACCTAAGGGTGCATGTGGAGAAACTGAGCACTGACTAGGATCAGAAACAAGCCATAAATTGAGTAGAGAAGGTAAATGATTCAGGTTGTCTGGAAAGCGAGTCTGGAAAGTTGACTATTTGAGTTAAGGATTAAGAAAGGTAAAAGTTGTGGGCTTTAATGTCTGCAGAGTCACAAACACTAGACCCAAGCCATTCAGTGTAATGAACATTAAAGTCACCGACAACAACAATATTGGCTGATGGATAAAGAGAGAGGGCTTGGTCAATATGATCAGAAATAACATCAAGAAGAGTGCAGTCTTGAGATGAAGGAGAGTGATATAGAACAAAGAGAAAGGTGATAGAGTGAAGTTGTGATAGAGTGAAATTATTTTACTAAAAAATATTGAAGTAAATAAGGAATAGGTATAGAATTAATTGGTGAGGAATAGATATGTAAGTTGGTATTTTATGAATCCGGAAAGACCTGTATTTTATGAATCCGGAAAGCTAGGTTATATTAGGAAAAAGTATAGAAAAGTTTGGTTTGGAATAGATTTACGAAGACCCGTATTTTTACGGGTCCGATCTCAGCTAATGACAAATAATTAATTAGTTCAACTCAACAACAAGTTCGGTATAAACTATGGAAAAATGTGGCAAATGCTTATTGCTTGATTTGCATCTTATTGCTTGATAATGGAAAGTTTAATAAGCAAACTAATAAGCAAATATATTATTGAATTAGGTGACTCTGAGTACAAAAAAAAAAAAGAAAAAAAAAGAATGTGATATAGTAACAAAAAAGAATATCTTAAAAACTTGTTTAAAAACTTTTCAAAGCAGTAACTATTAGTAACGTAGTAACCCAGTAACTATTTTTATTAACATGATGCTATATAATTTTGCATACCTAAACTTTTTTTAAACAAGTTCATTTGAACCAAGATACAAGATATCTTTTTGAACCTATTTATCTCCAATCCTAATTCTAAAGCTTTTACAAGCAGGTTAAAAATTTAACTTTTTTTTTTTTTGAGACAGTCAAGATGTAGTTGCTACTAGCAACTCATCTAATAAGAATACAAAGAAGGTTGTGAGCAGCTTGTAAAGAAACTAATGCAGCATTGAATGTTTTGCAAATTTTTTTAAATATGGCTTCAAAAAAGCTTTTAAACTATTCACCCCACACAATCTTTCTGTAAAATTTTAAAAAATTCTGATTTATTTAGATAAAAAGACTTAATAAAAAAAAAAGAAAAAAAAAAGTAAGCTAATGCTTTTTTAACCAATCCAAATCTATTCCACACCTCTTCTTCAATGAGGATCACAAATCAAATGACAATTTCAACAGAATTCAACTTAAATCAACCTTATCAGTAAGATAAATTTTAACTTAAATCTCAACATAATTCAACCAATCAGAAAAAGACCTTGGCGCTCTAATTTCCAATGATCTTAGGCCTAAACATCTATAGCTGCCTCCAAGACTAACAAAATGCATGGTATCCTGAAGCACAGCTTTATAAGCAGAATTGTAAAACTCTAGAAAAAGCTATACACAGTTTATATATGTTAACTTCTAGAATTTGATATCACCGCCTAATGTCCTTATTTAGAAAATGAAATTTTTGCAATTGAAAGCATTCAACATCATGCAATACAAATAGCACACCACTATTTATTAATTTTCAGTTCTCTACAAAAGAACTGTATTGCACTGAACAAAAACTTTTAGTGCTATCAGGCTTTAAAATTTCAAATATTAAAAATAAAAAACCCTGTTATTCAGATTTGATATTGCATTCAGATTCAGTATTGCATTAAGCACTTCAGGGCCAACGACACGGGTTTTTAAGTGGAGGAGCACAATTGTCAATTTCTAAAAAAAATCTAGAAATAAAAGCTTTTGATTATGAAACAAGATGTGGTGAAATCAGTCTCACTTCTCTATGATAATGAAGAAACGATAGGACAAGCCTTCCCAGTGTGCGGTTTTTTGTCTTGTGTGTCCACGCATGAGTATTTTATTTTAGAAAACTTAGTCACAGCTGTTTGCAAGTTTTTTTATATTAGGCGTTATGCAGAAACTTTTTAAAAAAAGTTTTTAAAACAAAGAAAGCAGAGCTAACAAAATAGGAAACTAAAATAATATTTATTCTATTTAAATAAATAGTAAAAAATAAAAAATAATAATTTGAATAATTTGTGTACTGTTTTTATTTTTGTTTATTCAGAGTGGTTGTTATTTTCAGCAACAAAATTTGATAAGGCAAAAAAAAAAAAGAAATAGTTTTAAGCCGACATTAAAAAGCATGGATATTTAATTTTTTTTATTTTTTTAAGAGGAAAGCGAAAATATAAATTGCTATCTGTTTGTAAATATATTTGTATAATTTTAATTTAACAAGTATATATTGTCGTTATTTTAAAACGTATATGTAATGAATGCGTATACTTTTATGTATAACTTTTTTTATTATATAATTATATTTATTTGATCAAAAGTATATGTACATTTAGACTATTCAGATAAGACTACACAGAATATCCGAGGTTCGAATCCCACCCCTACTTAAATTTTTTTGTTTTTCTACCCTCCCTTTAAGTTTACTATGTTATATATATTTGAAAATGATTTAAGATAAAGGTTCTAGAAAGATAAAACATTTTTGTCTTTCTAAAACCTTTTTTTGACTTTAGTGTGTAATAAATATAAAGCTATTTTACAAACTTATTTTGAGACTTTAAAATTGAAATGTCATCTCAGAATCAAATTTTTTGTTTTTATTTGGTGGAAAAAACTAGAAATAAATTAGACAATTTATACAAATATTTTAATAAAATATTCTACATGAAAATATGAAAATAGTTATATGCGGTTAAAACACATTCAATTGTTACCTTATGAAAGGTATAAACCCTTATAAAAAGTGTTAGCCATTCTGAAAAGCATTACCCTTTATGAAAAGTGTTAGCCATTCTGAAAAGCATTACCCTTTACGAAAACTGTTAGTCCTTATGAAAAGAATTAGCCTGTTTGGAATATGTGTCAACAACAAATATATAAGCAAAGTTTTAGAATTTAGCTTGAGTCAAGATCAATGTTAACTTTGAAAAATTCATTTACTTCGATTTTAAGGTGAAAATTTAAAAAGGCTTTTTTAACTATAAGCAAAACATGTAAATATTTAATTCAAATAAGAAATTACTCAAGACATCATGTATCATATGTCAGTCATCAAGATATCATTAAAAATGATTTAAAATGTACCAATAACTGGAATTTCATCATCAACAACTCCTCCAGAAACTCTTGGAACAGATGGGGTAGAAGCCTGAGGTGGTGGTGGTAGAATTTCCTCTTCGCCAGCATTGAAAGTTTGAAGCATATTCTTCATGACATCTTTATTGGGTCCTAATAACAAACATCAGTCAAATATATCAATAATATTTATTATCAATGTCAATACCTGGTAATTAAATGTCAATACTTGATATTGTAAATGATAGATGTTAGAGGTGATTAATATTTTCAGGTTACCTTTGTTTATTTGTTGAATGTTGACTTTAAGTGGCAAAACTAGCTTTGTAAAAATTACTAATATTTTTACTATTTAACACTTAACATAGTATGTTTATATCTAATACATACATATATACAAACACACATACATACATACATACATACATACATACATACATGCATACATGCATACATACATATATACATACATATATACATACAGACATTTATTATTTATGGAATAAAGTAACAAAAAAATTGAAGCAAAAACAACTTGATAAATAAATGTTGTGTAAAAAAAACTGCTATGTGAATAATGTTTATGTAAATCAAAAGTTGTGTATCTGTGTTAGAGAGTTAAAAATAACTACTAAATATATGATTTTAAATTTGTGTGTGTGTGTGTGTGTGTGTGTGTGTGTGTGTGTGTGTGTGTGTGAGAGAGAGAGAGACAGAATTAAAAATACATGATTTAAAACTATATAAAATAATTTAAAAATTTTTTGAATATCTTACGCTTTTTTTTCCCTCTATCTTTTGTCTCATTTTTAAATTGTTTTATCTTATTTTGAAGTTTTTCAGAGTCGACATTACTCCAATCATCCTAATAATATTGATTTATATGTATTACAATGATTTAAGCACATCAAATTTAAAAAGCATACTATACTGCCCTAAATGTGTTTTGCATAACAAGACAAATTTTGTAAAGATTGATTTTTTCAGAGGTTAAATGATATATGATATTTCCATTAGATTATTCAAATTAAATTTCATTTCAAAATGACCAAAGTTTTCTTCAAATTTTAAAACATTATTTTAAGTTTAAGTTATTAAGAAATCTCTGACTTAATTCAAGACAAAAGGTGACCTACATTTTTTTATTTTTGAGGATATTATAAAAGGCCAATGTAAAAAGTTGAGTTTAAAAAATAACAATAACTTTCTTTTTTATTTTTTATTTTGTGTAACTGTACAAAACACATGTAGATGTAGCAAGCTTTAAAAACTCTATTATGTTCAAACAACATCAATTAAAATACACTGATACTTATACTCTAGCAATTAATTTTTGTAAAACTAATACAATATAGAATTATTGCACATGGAAACAAGCCTTTAGTAATATAAAGCAATGTTTAAAGCAGCAATTAAAAAACAATAAAAAAATAGAATAAAACTTATCTTTTTATCTTTTTTTAAGAACAGTTTAAAATAACTGATTGCTTAAAAAAATATGAAGCAATTGTAGATTAATTTAAAATTGAAAATAAAATTACTCATAAGTTTTTAAAAACATTACATTAATTTAATTTTTTCATGTTTTTTTTTTCGAAAATTAAAACAAATATTTGTTTTTAAACCTGTATTTAATTTTGCTTTATTTAAAACAACAAAAGTGCCAATATTTTAAATCTTGCATCACTTGATTACATAAAAAAAATATATTTGTAATTATTTTTGAGGTTTGATTGATGCCCAAAACAAATTATATTTTGAAAAAAACAGTTGGTTATTTAAAAGTTAAAGAAACAAATATACAGATAAAAATAAACTTTATCTTTTTATTTGTCTTTTTACATTTCTAAAACAAATGTTTCAATAAAGTTGTCAATACATTTTTTTAAATTAACAATGATTCAAAACCAAAGTTTACATAATATTTCTATTTGAATATTAACAACTGATTATATGATAAAGTTATAATATATATATATATATATATATATATATATATATATATATATATATATATATATATATATATATATATATATATATATATATATATATATATACACATATGATTGTTAAGAATAACAAACTAATATAAAAAATCTACAGTGAATAGTTAAATAACCTGTTCTTCATTTTGAATATTGGAGGCTATAAAAAAAATATAATACATATATGATAAAAATTTAAAATAATTGTATTATGTCATCAACACAAAATAAAATTACTTTATGAATTTACAATATAACAATCTAAATAAAATTTAAACACTTCATGAAGTGTTTTGTTATATTAATATTACATTTATCATATTTGACATAATATAGTTTTTAGTAATAGGTTTGTGATAAGTCTACTATGACTTATCACAAACCTATTACTAAAAACTATATTATGTCAAATATGATAAATGTAATATTAATATAAGCAGCTTATTTTTTATAGTAAGCAGCTTATTTAGCTATAGTAAGCAGCTATAGTAGGCAGCTTATTTTTAAAGATAAACAATTTAAAAAATATTTTAATTATGTGCCAAAAAAGTTTCAATCAATGGCAAGTTTTAATTTTATATATGTGCCAAAAAAATTTCAATCAATGGCAAGTTTTAATTTGAAATTTCTTTTGAATCAATGAAATTTCCAATAATTTTTGAATTATGCCATGCTGATTTTAACAGGCTCATATATGCATAAAAAGAATTATCATGACATATTAAAAAAAAAAAAAAAAAAAGCCAATGATATATAAAAAAAACATTAATTCGAATTGTAACCATTACTTCCATATCTTTAAAGCCAAAACAATTCTCCAGAAAACAGATGTCTGTTTACTATTACTAGAAACTGTTGTAAAAAGATTTGGTCTAACACAAAAGCCCACTATTCTGAGGTCACGAAATCTCATATTTCATTTCAAAATTTTATCTTTCTTGTATGGTTCAGATTTTGTCACCTCACCTAAAGGCAAAGCTGAGTTGTTTGATTAAAACTTTTCATTCATCTCATCTCTTAATTCCACTAATCACATCCTACTTTACTATCATAAGGAAGGTTTTTGAATATTTAATTAACTAATACTTAATTTCTCATCTTAAATCTAATAACTTACTTTAAGATCATCAATATGGATTTCAATTTTCTCTTTCTACTGATGATTTTTTAACAGCAATAACTGATAAGTTTTATAAGGCATTACATAGCGCTATTGCTCTTGACATTTTTAACCTTTGATAAAGTTTAGCATGCTGGTGATCTCCACAAGCTCTCTTCTGATGGTGTATCAGGTAACATCTTTAAGATTATTAAATCCTTCTTTATTAATCATAGCATAAAAGTTGTCCTCCATAGACAGCACTCTTCTTGATTTTCTGTAACTTCAGAGGTTCCTCAAGGTTCTTCTATTGTTGACCTTATACTTTTTTAACTTATATTAACAATCTCCCAGTAATTCTCATATTTAAGGTGACATTGTTTGCTGATGATACTATCATTATTTTTGTCTTGATAAGAAGCCAACATGCTCTGATAGGTTATAGAGGGTATTTAAGCTTAAAAAGATTCTCACTTCTGCTACTGCATGGGACTCCCAATGAATGGTGAACTTTAACTCAGATAAAACTCAAACAAAAATTTTTTTTCAGCTAATCATCACAACAGCCTAGATCTTCCTATATTTATAAACTACAATGTACTTGATGAGCCATATCCCATCATGTTCTAGGATTAACTCTTATATCCAATTTTTCTTGGAGATCATATATCAAATCCATTGCAAAATTACCATCTGTTAAGGTTGCATCTTTTTATTGTGCTCGCCACTTTTTTACTCAGGATTCTATTCTTTATCTTTATAAATCTCAAATCCGTTCTTGTATGGAATACTGTTGCTATATCTGGAGTGGATCTTTGATTGATATCTTTTCTCTTTCAGACAAGATACAAAAACACATTGTACACATAGTTGGACCTGCAACCAGTGTCACATCCCTGTAATATTGCTTCTCTTTCTCCTTTCTATAAATACTATAATAGGTGCTGCTCTAAAGAGCTAGCCCCTCTTGTGCCATCTACTAAAATTCATTTTTGTGTTACTCATCATTCAATTAAGTCTCATTTTTTTACTGTTCTTAAGTGCTCCAAAAATTGTTATTTGTCTTGTTTTTTTCCTTGAACATCAGTTCTCTGAAATTTGCTCCCTTCATCTTGTTTTCCTGATTTATATAATTTACAATCTTTTAAATTGTCTGTTAATTGTTATCATGCCTTATAAACTTTATCTTTTCTCTTACAGTAACTTCTTTTTTTGGATAATAGCTCCTTTCTATACACTTAAATAGTTAAAATCAGTAAAATAAAACACTAGTTAAAACCTCTCACAAGTTTTCTTTACTTTTGAATTTTTATTGACTTAATTAATAGTCCAACCTTACTAAAGTCAAAAAAATTAATAAAGTCCATAAACCTTACTAAAAATCTGTAAAATCTTAAGAAGATGATAAAAAAAATTGTTGATGAACAAGAACGCAGTGGATTTATATTTCAAGACTAGTTGCACTAAAAAGAACACGGTGGATTTCCATTTCAAGAATATTTGCACTAAAATAAAAGTTCTGCTATTGCACTGCTATTAGGTAATTTTTGATGAAAAATATAAATGATTACATGATAAACCTACCTTCATCAACATTTAATTCTTCGTTACCAAGAAAATCGAAATCTTTTAAAACAAATGTATCTCCTGTTTCATGTTCAACTAAAAATTATAAAAATTCATAAAATTTGTCAAAATTTAAAATTAAAGTAAAAGTAAAAATCCAAAAAAAAAACCTTTTTTTGACTCTAAAGAATTTTTTGTAACTGAATCCTCAATTACTTCTGTTGAATCTGTATCAACTGGATTATCAAAACAATTTTGCTCTCTAAACAATTCCATCAAACTTTCATTAAAGTTGTTTATACATTTAAACAAGAAAAAAAAAAAAAATTATTTAAAGAAAAAATTTTTTTTTTAATATATTTAAAAAACAATTTAAAAACATCCCCCCCCCCCCGAAGATTAGTACCAGGGCCCTGGCTAAAACTGGCTTTAAGTGAACATGATTAAATCTTATGCTGTTTTTATTGCATTGGAGTCAGAGGGCATAGTTTCCATGGATAAAAATTCTGTTAATGAATTACTCTAAAAACTTTGATTTTATAGTGTTGTAGAATATTTTATTGTTCTATTATTATATGATATTTTTAAAATTTTCGCAACACTGTTGGCACCACTCTTCACCCCCACAACAAACAACCTCTTACTATTGAACTCAGAAAATCTAGATGTGTATGGTTTTAGTTCCAATTTACTCTTTTCCATTGTCAATCTCTGTCTAACACTTTATTTAGAACAATCATAGCCACCTCCATAGTTTTTAACCATGACTTTTCTCTTGATGCATCTAAATGTAAACAACTTAAATAATCTGCCGCTGCATTCTTTTTACCAGGAAGTTTCTTGTTTTTAGAAAATAGCCATAGCAGAGGTTTATGATCAGTGTACAAAGTAAACTTGTGCCAATATAAAAATTGATGAAATTTTTTTACTGCTAAAACTAATGCTAAAAACAAATTCTTTTCAATTTGGGCATAATTTTGTTAGCACCATACTTTATGTTCTTGAAGCAAAGTGAATAGGTTTTCACTTCCATCATCCTGCTCTTGACACAGCTTCCACACCATCTGGACTGGCATCACAGCGAACCATAATTTCTTTTGATAGATCGAAGTGAGCTAACAATGGTGCATTGCACAACATAAATTTTGTAAAGTTTCTTTGCTGTCTCTTTTCCACTTCCAAAATACATTTTTCCTCAACAAATTATGGAGCAGCTTTGTAACGGAAGACATTCTAGGTAAGTAGGCATTGTAATAGTTAGGCATTGTAATAGTTAGCCATTCCTAAAATTACCCTTGACTCTTTGATATTGGTTTAAGAGTTAGTCCTGATTCCTTTAAAGTTCTTAATACAGATTTTAAATTGTTTAAATGTCCATTTTTCCAGAAAGCTTATCATCCACTTGTACTTTCACAAATGGTAACTTGCCCAAACTTCTGTCTATTTCTCTACAAAAGATGCCAGTTACACTATAAATACTAAATTGGTGACGAATCGGTTGATTTGAACCTTGATGTGTATTTATTGTTAGAAAGTGAAGTTTCATCCAACTTAAGTTGCTGATATGCCTGGGACAATGCAAGCTTTATGTATTTCTGTCCTCCTGAATAGTGGCAACTGATCAGTGGTGTTTGGTATTGGATAGGTATCCAGAGGGTCAGCTTGATTTATTGTAATTTTATAATCCATATATACATAATGGACTCCTAGGGTCTTTTGAATTCTTTAGAATAAGCACTATAGGTGCTGCCCATTTTGAATACTGGACTTTTTGACAAACCCCCTGGTCTTCCAAGCAATCAAGCTCTTGTTCAAATCTAGTCCTCAAAGCATAAAGTATTGGCTTTTGTATATAAAAAAAACTTTGGTTTTGCACCTTCATGCACAGGTATGTGACATTTGAAATCTTTTAAGAACTCTAAATTATCACTTAACAACTCTGGAAATTTCGCCACTAATGCCTCTACCCTCAAATCAAACCTATTGCAAAAGTTGACTTTTCTTATTCTTCTACACAATTCCACCCATTCCAGGTTTAGTCTCTGAATCCAATCTCTTCCCATTAATGTAGGTTTCCTATAAATACAGTTAAAAGTAAACTACAACATTGTCTTTTATAATCTACTTCAATAAGCCCTATTCCTTCTGGTCTAACAAGTTCTTCTATGTAAGTCTTTAACATCACTTCAGACCTTCTTAACCTTCCTTTATTTCCTTTTACTCTTCTGTAAAATGAAACACCCATCACAGAAACAGCAGCTCTTGAATCAACTTTCATGCAAACCTTCTTACCATTGATTTTTACATTAATCATAACTGGTTATTCACTCTCGCAGATTCCTCACCTATTAAATGCAACACTAAAAAATCACTTTCATTTTCATATGAACCAGCAGTGTCTCCCTCAGCTGATCTCTCACAAATTTCAACTTGAATCATTTCTAATTTCCTCTCCTTATTACCACTAAATTCCTTTTTTTCTAATCAACATCTTTTTTTGAAATAACCTATTCTTCTAAATAGGTGACACTTTGAATTGCAATAAAGGTTGTTTACTTGATGACTTGTGTAGCAAAAATGAAAACATTCTTTATTTTCCTCAAATTTTGTCTAAGTATCCATATTGTGTACTGCATCTTGTTCTACAGGACCTTTACTAGTGCTACAAACAGCCTTAGCATCTCTATATACTGCTTCATACGCTCCTATTATGCCTAATCCTGTCTCCAATGTAAGATTTATTATTATAGTTAATAACTTTTGCTTCACATTTTCATTGTTTAATCCATAGACAAAATCTCTTAAGTAATCATTCAATTTTTCACTAAACTCATTCTGATAATCAGCATAATTCAGTGATATATCTATTTACTGATTCTCATTTTTATTTTATTTTAATGATTTCAATTTTATATTCAGAATACAAAATTGAAACTACTATGCAGTGAGTTTAAAACGGCCTCTCATTAGCTTTATGAGTAAAACTGTTATTTTTAGTGTACTATCCCTGGAATAAAGAAGCAACAAAATTAATGTTCAGTGGAAATATCAAAAATTATCATCAAAAATTATCATGAGCTTTTTCAAGAAGTTTAAATAATTAAAACATAATTATTTAAACTTCTTGAAAAAGCTCATGCAAATCTATCTAGGCTGTATATAGGATGGGCTATTCATAACTCATGCACTTATTTGCTCCTGCTGAACCCTGTTGTAAACATGGTTGTACTGACCCTAGTCTTAAAAAAGTTGTTAATAAGGAAATGAAAAAGACTATGGAGAATTTAGTAATGTCTTCGACTAGTTTTTTTTTAAGAGTTTACATAAAGTTGAGATTTTTTTTACAGAGAACTACTAGTTATTAGCAAATCAACAAAGCTAGGTGAGTTAGTAGGTTCAAAGAGTTGGATCTTGTTCAAGGTAGCTAAGTTCCCTGTTGAAGAGGTGAAAAACTGGATCAGAGAGGATGTCAATCAGACATTTTATATATTTAAAAAGTTTTAAAAGTCAAATGAATGTGTCAACAATTGCGCTGAGAGGAATATCTTACAAATTCAGGACATTGTTAGAGTCTACAAGTCTAACTATATAAAACAAAACTTCATCCGGATGGCCAAAGACAACATAAAGAAACTAAAGGAGACTGGAACCTAATCAAGAAGCAACATAAAAATATTAAACTGTTTTTAATTGGAAACCATCTTTGGTGTAGATCATCGAAAATATGTAAATAATATTTAATTAAGAATTGCTTCATCTCAACCTTATAATCATTATTTTCATAAACTTAAATCATAAAAAATATGTACAATTATTAGAGGGCATGCCATTACTAAACACTTAATTAAAAAATTTATTACCAAATTCCTCCTTTCCAGATCACCTAAATCTTCAAAAAACATTTTAAAATTTTTTAGAAAGCAAAACTTTAGGGTAAAAGGAAAGATTAGATCAGGAGATAGAACAGAGAAGGAAAAATCAAACCAGAGAAAAACAGACGATGTCAAAAACTTCTTTTCATCCTCAGACTCTACATCTAAAGAAAAGTTGAGAATACTAATAAACTTCTTATTGTCGACTGTTTATCAATATATCAACTGATTCAATAACTTTTGAAAATGCAATCGAAGTTCTTACATCATTGTGTGCTAAAGCAAAAAGTGAAATATTCACGCAACATCAATTAGCAACACACAAACAAATTGGCAAAATATTAAATAAATTCATTCAAGCTCTCTGAAACCAAGCAAGAGATTGCAACTTTATAGTAGTAACAGCAGATATTTACTGCGATGAATCTATCAGAGATGCATTTATCACTGGTTTAAAATCAAATATGATACACCAGAGACTACTAGAAAACAAGATCCTCACACTAACATCGGCATTCGACCAAGCAAGCTCCTTAGAGTTTGCACAAAAATACTCTGAGCAGTATCAGTCTAATGACCTCAAATCAATGCAATGCATAATACAAGAAAAAATAATGATAACCAACAAACCTACAACCGACCACAAAACTGTGCTACTTCTGTGGAAACAATCGCTACCCACTTAGTACATGTCCTGCTCAAGATAATGTTTGCCGCAAATGTCAAAAACAAGGAGATTTTGCTATAGTATGTAAATCAAATAGATTATTAGTTGTAAATGAGTCTTACAATATATTAGTAATGATAAGTGCTGGAGCCTCTAATTACCTCTCACATGCAATTCAGAAGGTGGAAATAAATGGGCAAAAACTTTCTGCTTTAATAGATACTGGAAGCTCAGACAACTTTATTAACAAATACATTGTCAATAAGTATCAAACCCAAGCATCATGTCAAAAAATTTTGTCAATTTTACCTGACTTATGTGCAGATGGTATTCTTGGCCAAGCTTTTATAAAACAGCAAAGCAACATAACAATACCTTTTGGAAAAATGTCATTTTGTAATCTAAATATCATCTGCAACATTATTTGCAAACCTTTCTAAAGATTTATTTGCAACTAAATCTTGAAGATTTCATCATGTGGATAAGCTATTCATTTAATCTGAAATAAGAAAATTACTAAATGACAAAATTATAGAACCAATTAACTTGCTATGGAAGGCACACAGTAATTACTAAAAATGAAAGACGCAAAAAAGGAATGTGTGAAAAAAAAAATAAATTCGCATACATCGATGCCTATCCTCTGATGCCTACTCAGAGTAGATCAGATTTAAAAATTGTTTATGTACCATTTTTTATTCTACTCATTTTTTGATCTACTCAGAGTAGATCAGATTTAAAAATTGTTTATGTACCACAGTATTCTTGATCTTGCAAGCGCTTATCATCAAATTCTACACTTACCAGAAAACAAGCCATATACAGCATTTGAAAACCGATGGCTAATTGTATTACTTGACTTGTTTGCTATTGGGTTTAACAAATGCAGTCCCTGTTTTTCAACAGAAAATTGACGAATTTATAAATGGGAACTCTTTAAAAAACTACATGCGTATTTTATGTTATGCATAAAAGACCTATGTGTATTTAGATAATATTATGGTAGCGGGAATGACAAGGAAAACAACTTTTAACAGCAGCAAAAGTGTGAACTCAGTTTAAGGTATATCATTTAAAAAAACAACTTTTAACAGTAGCAAAAGTGTGATCTCAGGAGATGTTGTATGTCGTAATAGCATAAAGCCAGTTTTAGAAAGGTTGGAGCTTAATTTACCAGTACCACAAAAGTAAAGCATTACAAAGAATTTTAGGTCTATTCTCCTACTACTCGAAGTTTATCTTTAATTACTCTGAAAAAGTATGCCTGTTATAACAGTGTTTAACAATCCCATTCAATCAACAAGTTACAGATACTTTCAAGCTACTAAAAAACAATATTGAAAACACTGTAGTAAAAATAATCAATGAAACAATTCCAACTGTTGTTGAAACAGATGCATCCAACTTTTTGTTAGCTGCAACAATAAACCAAAATGGACAGCAAGTGGCCTTTTTCTCAAAATCTTTAAACAAACATAAAATACACCAATCAGCTAATGAAAAATGAAGCACATGCTATTGTGAAAGCTCTTTGAAATTGGAAACACTTTTTCAGTGGGCACCACCACTTTACCTTTGTGACAAATCAACAGGCTATTTTGTATATGTAGTTGGTTGCTACAGCTATGGCATATAGTACCAACCAGGTAAGTATAATCAAGCTGCTGATTGCTTAACATATTCCTTGTGTTCTTCTTTACTGATTCAAAAGTTGTTAAAGAATGAAAGCATTTCAAACTCCATTTGTTTATATATAAGCATTAATAAATTAAAACTAGTAGAGCTTCATAATGGTCTCGGTCACCCAGGTGTTACAAGGATGAATCATTTTGTTTGCAGTCAGAATCTACCATACTCTATAGAAAAAATTAAAACTGTCACTCTTTTTATTTGGCGTGCCTGCTTATATTCATTCTGACATTCATAATTTTCATAATTTTAAAATTCAAACAAACAATCTAACACAACCTGGTTGTTAGAACAAGGAAAAGTGTTTTTTGAAAAAACATATTTGATTCAGTAAATATGATCCCCTAGTAAGAGAACCTGATCTGGTAGAAGCAGAACCACAGTATGCTTACATTAAATTTTTTAAACAGACAAGAATCTACAATATCTATTAAAAAATAGCACCAATAGAAGATAGTAAATTTCCTCATTCAAATACTGAAATTGCCTACAATAATATTATTGACACAAAGTATACCTCAAAACCCAATAAAACTCCAACTACAGACAAAGAAAGTTTGATTGATTCAATATATAATATCGAAACTCACCCACAAGTACAAACTAGCCAACTTTCAACTAATCATGTTCTAGATGATCTCAATGAAACTGGAGAACATCCTAAAGTTTTTAGGACTAATAATTTTATTAATTGGAAGAATGTTATAAATCATTTATAAACATTATAAACTATGACTTAATATCTCTCTTGAGAATTGCTACATTATTATTTTAAAATTTCTATTGTACTGATTTATTGACATGATAGATAAACCTTAATAGTTAAGTGGTACTATTAATTTGTAAATTTTATAGTTTGTTTAACAAGGCTACAAATGTTCTTTTCTTATGAACATAATAAAACAGGAAACAAATATATTTTTAATAAAAACATTATAAACTACAAATCTACAAAATTACAGTAAGACTTACTGATTTAATGACACTGTGAAATCTTCTTGACGCTTTTCATTTTTTTTTGATTTTGTTGAAGCATCTTCTGTGGGTAGATCATCTGTAGTAATTCCTAGAAGTGACCGAATTCTAGCTGATCGCATTTCAAGAACTTTATCTGTAAAACCAATTTCCTGAAGATACCTACATATAGAGTTTTGATAAGGGTGGAATGACTAATTAGATAAGTTAGTTATAATAATACAAAACAACTTATTGGTGATTTAAGTTTATCACAAAAATGACCAAACAGTGTATTCCAAAATTTATTTAACAACTTGATTTTTATTGTGTAGAATAAAAAAATTGAAGGATATATTAAGATGTATTTTAACACAGATGTTCTGAAATATTGCACTCTTGTAAGTTTTAGTTTCAAAAAATAATGTAAACCATCAGCATTTGTTTCAAAAATTAAAAGCATATTTGGAATGCAATATTTTTATTAAGAAAACTTGTCACCAAACTTATTCTTAATTTATACCCTAATCATTTCAGTTACAAAATTTTTTTCTGCACACATTCTTGATAACAAAAGATTCAAATGTGTTACATTAAAAATGGGACAAATTGAGCTAGATGCTCAAAGCAACCAGAATAGTTTCCATTACCAGAATTATTATACAATTGGCTTCAAAAAGCTAATCCTCTTTGAACAACAAAAAATAAATTATCACTGCAATAATCATATTAAGGAGCTCAATCTAGTATTTAAACAATTTGTTTTGTTTATTAAGAAGTTTACTAAAATTGACGCAGAAGTTGAACATTAATTCTAGTAGATTTCTTGCCTTATAATATTCTTGACAAAACAATAATATGATTTAATAGTACTCACATATAAAAACACTTTATTTATCAAAGAAGAATAAATAATCAAATTTAACATTTTCTTTATTCAATAACATTCTGAGAAAATATTCTTTATGCATAATACTTTACTAGGAATCTAGCCTTTATTGAAAAAAATCCAAGAACAAATTTTGTGAGGAAATATCTTTATAATAAGTTATAAGATCTGCATTTATCTCCCATTCAGCTAAGTAAAAAGAAGCTAAAAATAGAAGACAGTTGGGCCAAAAAATATAAGATTTCTTTAGACCTACAAAAAGCATTAAACTACACTGATTACTATATATCATTAACTAGTAGACATATTACAAAAAAAAAAAAAAAAAAAAGAGAATATAAGTCTGAATGCAAAGTTAAATAAAAAATTTAAAACTGATAACAAAAATAATATTAAATGTTTATTTAAAACAATTTTATAAAAATTATTAGTGTTATATTTTTGATTTAAAATTTGTTTATTATTAAAAATTTTTTTTGTTAAAATGAGTTTTATAAAAGTTAATACAACAACTTTATCTGATAAGAAGTTGTACTTTGATTTTTTTATTGATGCTCAATTTGACTAATAAAAAAATTATAGAATACCAGCTTTTTTAAAAGAAATATTTCAGTGATGCATTTCTATACTGTTTGTGTAAAAAAAAAATAACAAAACAACTCATACTGCCGCAAAAGTTGCCTTCCTTGTTTATAATTAAAAACTAAATCATGATTTTTATTTGAAATTATTTCATTATTGGCTAAATCATGATCTTCATCGTCTTTTATATCTGGTAACTTCAATTCAGTGCCATATTTAAGCTTGTGAAACTTTTGCCTAATTATAAAAATAAACATAATTAAACAATTTAAAGATTTTAAGGAAAAGAATTAGCGACAAACATTTAAACAACATATCAATTACAAAATAATAAAAAGTGATAATATTTTAAAATAAGCTAAAAATATCAAAAAAATTTAGTTAATTTGCTTTAAAAATAAATTTATATTACTTTTACCTTTCCTTTCTTAAGGCAAATTCTAACATTTTTATTCGTCTAATAAGGTCACGTTTAAGATTTTCCTGACCTTTCCTTTCTCCTTGCAAAAAAGCAATTCTTGCCTGATATAAAAAGATTTTAAAACTTATATTAGAAATACAAGTTTTTAATTAAAACTAAATTCTAGATCATTATAAAAGCTTTAAAAGTATTAAAACATATTCAATAAGACAAATGGAAAACTAGTAAATATAGAGTAGTAATATATAGTTTTAAAATTAAAGTAAATTTAATGATAAAACTATATATTAGTTATTATTTTGTTATTTTTCAGTAAATTTCAAAAGAAAGTCAAGGAACAATATCAACCTGCAACTCTGCTCTTTCAACTTCCCAGTGAGCTCTTTCTATTTCAAAACGAGCCCATTCATGTTGTATGTAATGAAGAATTCCTGGTATGCTGTATACCATTGGGTTAGAGCTACTTTCAACATTTCCATTACTTTTGTTAACTCCATTTATAATTTTTGCATCAATTTCCATATTTGCTTAAAAAACTTGTATTTGTACATCGAATAGCTAAAATAAATTGCATTTGATACATCTTTAAAATCCTAAACTTTGATAGCAATATTTTACTTGTATAGCGATATAAAATAAAAAAAACTTTGATTATAATTTAGTTAAATGTATATATATATATGTATGTATATATATATATATATATATATATATATATATATATATATATATATATATATATATATACATATATATATATATATACATATATATATATACATATATATATATATATATATATATATATATATATATATATATATATATATATATATATTATACATATATATATATATATATATATATATATATATATATATATATATATATACATATATATATACACATATACATATACACATATATAAATATATATATATACATATATATATATATATATTTTATTTTTAATTGTAAATATCTACATCAGTTGGTGCATACATGTAGCATACTTGATATATATATATATACATATATATATATATATATATATATATATATATATATATATATATATATATATATACATATATATATATATATATATATATATATATATATATATATATATATATATATATATGTATATATATATATATATATATATATATATATGTATGTATATATATATATATATATATATATATATATATACATATATATATATATATATATATATATATATATATATATATATATATATATATATATATATATATATATATATATATATATATGTATATATATATCAAGTATGCTACATGTATGCACCAACTGATGTAGATATTTACAATTAAAAATAAAACTTTATGCTTAGATAGATAACTATTGAAAATTCATTTATTGATAATAAAAAATGATAGGTCTTTTGTGGACTTAAAATATATTTTTGAAAATTTTGACACCAATTTTAAATTAGGAATAAATATATATTTGTATTTCTAATAGTTTTTTTTATTACTTTATTTTAAAAATTATATATGTATATTTATATATACATAACTAATGCAAAAATACATGGAATTCTAACGACAGCACCCTCAGTTTCGCAGTTAATTTGTGTTAGTGTTTTGATACTTATTACATTTAACATTTACGTTGCCTTCTATAATGTCGCGCTTGCGCAAATTAAAACTTCAGTTAATAGATATGAGAAATTCAGAATCCTTTTGTTCATTAAAATTATTTTGTCAAAAAAATCGCTAACGGTCAAACACAGGGATTCTGGAAATTGAATAGTGCAACAGGTGCTATTTATTATTAAAGAGCACAAATAAAAGTTAATGAATACATTATTTAAAAATTAATTCATCTCTAGCGAAAACGATACTAGGCATGTTGGAGGACTAATATAACATTAAAAGACAAACCAGTATATATATATATATATATATATATATATATATATATATATATATATATATATATATATATATATATACATATATATATATATATATATATATATATATATATATATATATATATATATATATATATATATATATATATATATATATATATATATATACACACTATATATATATATATATATATATATATATATATATATATATATATATATATATATATATATATATATATATATATATATATATAATATTTTTGTTAGCCAGTGGGCACATGACGTTGATCCAAAGTTGAGTTAAGTTGGGCGACATCGACTAACTAAATCTAACTTTGTAATCAGTGGCGTAGGATCAGGGGGGTGGAGGGGTGATACCCCCAACTAAAACACTGGGGGGGGGGGGGGAGGTGGACACTTCATTTAGCCCCCCCATTTCCTAAACAGTTTAATAAATTTTTTTTATGATATCAACAGCGGATTTATTTTCCAGTCTGCAATGACTCAATCAAAATTAAACATCTCCATGGAAAAGTATATCCTTAAAACTGTTTAAGATACTATCGCATAATAACTGTTTTCTAAATGAATGTGTGCTGGCAAAAGATGACTACAGTTTTTCATGGAGTCATTGCGCTGAAAAGCATGTTGTATAAAAGGTAGTTATAGTAAAACATACATGTTACTTTTTATAACCCTTTAAAAATTTTAAAAACAGACTAGACTAAATTTTAAAAACAGAAGTAAAATCGTGCTTATAAAGAATATGCTTAAAGTTTATTAATCTTGCTATTATTTAAATCAATGCAATAGAACGTTCGAAATGCGAAAGAACGTAATACAATTTTAAAATACAATAGAACGTAAAGTTAAAAAAAAAAAATTGTAGTTTATTGATAACGTTTTTATCTAGTTTTTTTATGTTCTTACAATTTTTAAAATTGTTATTTTGTAACTACATTGTTTCAGCTTGACTAAATGAAAAATTATTTAATTCAAATATAAATTATTAAATTACAGTATTTATATTATCTTATCAATCCGATTAACAATGACTTTGAAGCGTAGGCGAACCGAGGATTTTTACCAATCGAAACTTACCGCATTAAGTGTTAGCCTAACGTGAGTACATCTATTTCCGTTAAACAAACTCTACTGTAGTTAAAAAATCCATTTAAAAAAATCAAAAACAAAACCTAATATTTAGCCTTAAAATTTACTATGTATCTTTTTTTTTTACTTATAGACAGGAGTCAAAAGATGCTAAAGGTTTCAGCAGCCATCTGTAAAAAACGCCATTAATATGGAAACGCTTTTATTGAACTCGGCAAACTTAGAGTCAGAAACTATCGAGATAGATTTATCACTGTCAAAAATGTACCCTGACATCGACAGGACAAGGTTAACATGGCAACTTCACATGCTACCTGAATTAATCAAACAGAGCAAAAGCAATAAAGTAAAGCCAATTACTAAGATAACAACCATCTCAACATTAGTTAAAATATTTGCCGAAAATGATGCATCTAAAATGTTTGATGAAATGTCTAAAGTTCTAAGAGTCTTTCTTACTATACCGGTCAGTACAGCAACAGCAGAAAGATCATTTTCCAGTCTAAGGAGGCTAAAAACATATCTCCGTTCTACTATGAACCAAAAAAGATTAAACAGCACCATTATGAGTCATATTCATAAAGATATTTTGGAAGAAGTTGACATTAACACTATTTATAAAGAATTTGTGCTGGTAAATGATGAGCGTCAACGATATTTTGGAAAACCATAGAGTTTGTTTCACGTATTACGAACACAATAAATTATGTTATATTTAATGTATTACTTTATAATTATATTATTGTAATATTTAATTATGTTGTGCTTAGTTTATTACATTATTAATGTAAAACTGTCTTAACAATTATCAAAAGCTATTAAATATTTGTTGAAGGTAAAATATATAAATCAATAAGAGCGCCAAGAGTAATAACATTGCGTGTGATAAATAATTTAATAAATAGATCATTTTTATCTATTTTGCTGTACCATACAAAATTGAGAAACTTTTTCCTTTTTAATATATGTTTTCAGCCCCCCTAACTTTCACGACCCTACGCCACTGGTTGTAATAACGTTGGTTACACTAACTTTAGTTTTTATCGTAAATACAACGTTGTAATATCGTTGGGAACATAATTATAATAATTATCGTTGGGAACATAATTAGCATAATTTTTTTTATCGGAGTTACAACGTTGTAATAGCTTTAATTACATTGTTTTTAATGAATATTCCACTTGTTTTGGCGAGGATTTTGTATATAATTAGGCATGCTAAATATTTATGCGATGAAAAAAATATATATATTCCTTCTTAAAACCTCAACTTTTGAATGTTTAATTTTTGAAAAAAAAAAAAATAATATTAAATAATAATTAATCATTTTAACTTTCGGCCAAAACAAATTGAATTTTATTATATTTAAATTAATTGAAAAATCTAACGTTATCCATTCTTTCCGTTTCCGCCATTAATCCGCTGTTATTACAACCTAAACAACAACGTTATTTAATGCTGTTCCAACGTTGGTTTGCCAACTGGGTAACTGTTTGTCATTATTTTTAATTCTATTGCTGTTATTTTTTAATGTTAGTGTTTCTTTTATCTTTTTTTACAAGAAAAACGTTTTTATATCATTGCAAAAAAATGAAAAATGCAAGAGATAGAAATATATTGTCTAACGCTAACGTCCATTAATTTCAGATCACCAAATCTTGTATTTTATTTCAGAAGTCAGCAAAACAGGTTGTAGAAAAGTTAAACTTTTCACAACTTCTACAAAAGTTTAACTTTTTTACAAATAATGGTCCGGACAACATTTCTGCCACTGTCTTAAAAAAGTCCTCTCCAGAACTCATTTCAATACTGTCAAAACAATTTAACAAGGATTTACCTAAATCTTTAAACATAAACAATAAAACTTGGTGTAAATTGAGTTTATACTTATTTAAAGTACCAAGCGCACATACAAGTGGTTTGCAAGAAGAATTTTTATTAGCTCCAAACACTATTCTGCATTCAGGTTTTTGTTTGTTGAAGATTTTCTTTAGTTTTCTTAGCCAGTACTAACCCACACAATATAACAGTAAGACAAATAACTGTGAATAAAGACAAAATATAATTTTTTCAGATGTTACATTTAGAAAAGGTTTAGCCTTACACATCATTGCAATATTTTTTGAGAGTGTTGTTTCAATACTATTTATATGTGAATACCTGTCTTGAATGAATTGTTTTAAATAAAATAAAGAAGAAATAATAATATCAAATACTGATTTGACAATATTAACTCTAATTTTATCAAAATTTTCACTTTTTTTATATTTGAGACCACTAAGTTCAGGTTTCAGTTTGCTAAGTTTTAAACTAGTTTCTTCCATAAGTTTATCATAAGTTTTTAATTATGAATCAAAAGGAGTGGAGTACATTCTGGTATTCACTAAATGATAATTGCATTTTATATATCAGAGAAAGTTTTTAAACTATTTTATTATTTTTTAATCGCAGAAATTAAAGTCATCCTTGGCGGACAATACTCTCCACCATTTTTCGCAACTTCTCGGGTAACATAAGATTCCATCTTTAGTCCTGTGTTATTTCTCATCTATATTAATGATCTATCGGAAAATATAAAATTCATGGTGGCTCTAATTTTTAACGACACAACTATGTGTTTTAAAGAGAAATTGTGTGCTTTGATAGGAAATTGTAAAAAAAAAATTTATAGACCTTATAAAAATATTTACTCCTAAATAAACAGTTAATAAAGTGCAGCAGCAGTTGTTTAACCAAGAAAACACTATATAGCATTTTCAGGATCCGTTAAAAAAAAGTAATTCATGATCGTCAAACTGATCATCACACTAAATGGCTTGGCTCTAGTGTCAGTGACTCTGCAGGCGTTGAGGCCAACACCAATTTTGGCTTTTTCAATCTCTAACACAAATAGTCAACTTTCAAAATCGCTTTTTTTTTTTTTTTTTATTTAATTCACCTCCTCAAGGCCGAGAAGGCCACTACAGACGAGGAGGCTACTTAATTATGGTTATAACCCTCTCTCAACTCTATAACTCCGAAACACGAACCTTGACGAGCAAGGCCACTGCGCGGAGAAACGAGTTGAGCGCGGTACTACCAGGGACGTGGTGGGGAGCTTTTCAGACAATCCGAATCATTTACTTTCTCTACTCGACTGTCTTGTTTTTGAATCAAGCCATTGCTCAGATTCTCCATTTTATAAGTTTTTGATCGTGGGTTGACCTCTCTAGAATTATTATCTCATTCTTCTTCATTATCAAAAACCCCCTATCATTGAACCTGCTGACAGGTAAAGGTTTTGTAATTTTAACATAGATCGCCCTATGTTATAAATCTTTGTCTATGGTATAAATCTTTGTCTTACTGCTTACAAATGTGCTTCTTACATAACTTCTTAAATTCAGACTGGTACGGAATCTTTTATTTCCTCTCAAGAATAGGAGAATAGCTATATCAAGCCTCACTCTTCTCCATGGTTTCCTTTACTCTTCTCCATGGTTTCCTTCTCATTGTGCTGCTGCTATTGTCAATAGTAACCATTACTTCCATATCTATCATCAAAACAATTCTCCAGGAAAACAGACGTCTATTTACAATTGCTAGAAACCATTGTAAAAAGGTTTTGCATAACGCCAAAACCCGTTAATCTCAGGTCACAAAATCTTGCATTTCTTCTCAAAATATAGGCTCCAGAGAATTCTGGAGAAATTTTAACAGTCTATAATAAAAATCTGTTATTCACCTGATATTGTCATCTCACCTTAAGATAAAGCTGAATGCCTGTCTTTAGGTGAGATAACAAAATCTCTTGATTCCACTAATCTCATCCTACCTTGTATACTTGTAGCCAACAAATAGGTTGATCCATTGCTTGACTTTTCTATCAGTCCAGAAAACTATCTAAAGTAGTTTTCTTCTTAGACTCTTTACAGCTTGTGGTCCGGACAGCATACCTGTTATAGTTTCCAGAGCTGTCGTCTATACTTTTCAAAACTATTTAACAAGTCTTTATTAGAGTCTTGTTTGCTAGCCTGCTAGAAAGCAGCATCTGTTATATCTATTTTCAGAAATTCACTTTTGCTACAGCATGGGGTTTCCAGTGACTGTTAAACCATAACTCAGATTAAACTCAATTTTTTTCAGCTAATTGTTTTTGCAACAATCTAGATCTTTCTTTATTATATATTTATGAACGGTAATGTACTCGGTTAGTCATCTACCTATTGTCTTCTAAAGTTAACTCTTACTTACGATCTTTATTGGAAACCATATATCAAACCAATTGCAAAATTAGCATCTGCAAAGGTTGTATCTTTTCATCGCTATTGCTACTTTCATAAATCAGGTTTAACTCCTTATCTCTATAAATCTCAAACCTGTCCTTGTATGCAATACAATTGCTATATCTAGAGTGGATCTTTGAATGATGCGCTTTTTCTTTTAGACAACGTGCAAAAACGCATTGCAAACATGGTTGGACCTGCTCTTAGAGCCAACCTTCAGCCATTGTCACATTGTTGTAATGTTGCTTCTCTTTCTCTTTTCTATAAATATTATTATGGGTGCTGCTCTAAAGAGCTATTGTTTCCTGTGCCATCTACTAAAATTTCATTATCGTGTTACTCGTCATTCAATTAATTCTCATCACTTTACTGTGACTTCCTAAGTGCTCCAAAAATTTTTATTCATCTAGATTTTTTCTCGAACATTGAATCATCATGTATGTATGTATGTATGTATGTATGTATGTATGTATGTATGTATGTATGTATGTATGTATGTATGTATGTATGTATGTATGTATGTATGTATGTATGTATGTATGTATGTATGTATGTATGTATGTATGTATGTATGTATGTATGTATGTATGTATGTATGTATGTAGGCACACACACACATATATATCAAGGGCCGTCTGGAATAGATTTTAAAGGGAGGCGGGTGACATACCTATTTTTTGCTTTCTAAGGCCTAAAAAAAATATTTTGCCCAATATCATTTGCTAACTGCTAACAACAGATCCAATTTGCAAACTCTAGTATCTAATATTCCGACTAATTTTAAAAGATAATTTTTGTTGTGGGGTTAGATACCCCACTCTCTCCCTTTCAAGGTCCTGTATATACCTGTCTTAACAAAAACAAAATCAAGTTCATAGAACATTATTTGATTTAACCTCCCGTTTCTACAAAATGTAAGAACAACATTGCAAGAAATTTTCTAAAGCCTATTGAATAGCATTTTTGAAAGAAAAAAAACAAGCTACGGACGGCGGTTAACTCCGGACACTTGATGTATAGCTTAAACTAAAGAAATTATGTGATTTTAAATATTATAAAATTTTTTTTTTTTGTATGAAAATATGTCATATGCAAAATATCTATTATAATATGAATAATCCAATAAAAAGACCTTGGATTTCGAAAAAAGTGTTTTTAAAGTGTTTATTTTCAATAGCAAAAAGTTAATGATTATTTTTCTAAATGATATTTTTATTCCCATTCCTTATATATCATGGGTAATTTTTAAAGGCGATTTTTTTTTAATGTGTTGAAAATAGTCCAATGCTAAATAATTATACATTATATTTGGGCCGCACTAGTAAAAAAAAAATGTAAAATCATGGTTAAACTATGTGTTCGGGGTTACCCTACAGTTTTGAAACATGCCTTTTTTCTAACATTTTTTCTTTTATGTTTTGTATATTATTAAGGTACACAATCATTTTTTTTTTGATTCTAATTTAGTAGATAAATATTTATACTTTTAAAAAAGTCTTTTGACACTTTGTATTTTGTTAGTACATGTGTACAATCTTCTTTTTCCTTAAGTTTCCGGGGCTACCCGACTTTCCCCTAATAAGAAATAACTTTAAAGTCACTTATAGTTGTATTCCTAACATCACCAACATTATTAATTCACGCAATAAAAAAAATATTATCTTATGTTTTCAATAGAGTCGTTTCAACGGGACAACTGATTAAGTGCGAACTTCATAATAGCGAAGCTGCATAAGTGCGAACTGGCATAATTGCGAACTTGCATAGTTGCGAAAGTGCAAATTAGCATAAGTGCGCCAAAGGAATTTGCAAACATTAGCATAAGTGCAAACAGGCATACGTCTAAAGTAGTTGCAAAAATTAGCATTAATGCAAACTTTTTTAACGGCGCACATATATCCAGAAGCGTAAACGGAAATTTAGTAATTTGGCTAAATACACAGCGATAACCATCGTATCTAAGTTCTTTTGCACAATCTTTTGAACGATCTGGAAATGTACTTTATTCAGTCTGGAAATGTGATTACATTGATTCAAGGCCGTAGTCAACTTTATTTTTAATGTTTGAGCAAAGCAACTTTGAAACATTAAGAAAACTCTATATTTAAGTATGTTCATAAATATAAGGAATGAGGATGCTATGCAAAAAATTGCGGTGATTGGAGACTGCGAACAACAAAAACCCCAAAACGTTAGCCCCCTCAGTCCCAAACAGGAGGGCAGTTAGGCATATCTGTAACTTTTTTTTAATTTTAAACTTAATTTATATTCATCGACGAATTTCAAATTTGATTCAATAATCCTTTGTTGTTCGGCTTTTATGACCTTATAAAGTTTACACCTCCTCAAATTGAGGGGGTATAAACTTTATAAGGTCATAGAACTCATGCATGTAAGGGGTAAAAAAATTACAAGATTTTTTTTAAAAATTCTACTAACATAAAAAGTTTCAGTTAGAACCTTGTCAAACCAACGCTTTCAAGATCAAGACTAAGACCAAGAATTTAGACTTCAAGACCAATACCAAGACCAAGACTGTTGAAAATGAGTTTTGAGGCATCTCGAGACCAAGACTTTGGTCTCGAGACCTACATCTCTGCATATATTATGAACTGGCATTTGTGCGCCGAAAAAATTTGCACAATATTTCTTCGGTTGTTTTTGCATCGGCTTCGCACTTATGCTAGTTCGGTGCACCTAGGTGCAGCTAGGCGGTGTACCGCCTGAAGATAACGCGTGTTTGCTTAAACTCTCTTCTATTCTATGAACGAAACCTGACCAACTTTATTACGTGACGTTTTTATGTGATGAGTCTATTCGCTTGGCAACTTTTGTTTATTAAACATGGGTACATCACGCTTCATATTAGTCCAATCATGTTTATTGCCATTAAATAAAATTTAATAAGTTTTGGAGAATATCAATTATGGTTAATATAATTATTATTTATTTACTTTGAACATTTATTGACTTCAACTGATTAAATTACTAGTTTTTAAGCTTGAGTTCATTCACAATTTGTATAGTATTTAATTTTTATAATTTTAGTAATTTTTAGTAGTTTTGTTAACAATATAATTAATTTTTAATATGATTATTTTAAAAGAATCACAATATATATTTTTATTTAGTCTAAAGGTACAACCATTAAAGAGGCTCTTGCCAAATGGGTAATACAATTATTAGTTTTATATACTTTAGTTTTATAATTTTTAAAGCAAAAATTTTGTAAATTGGATTATTTTTAATTTCAAAAATATCCCCTACCCCATCTAATAGCTTATTTTATTCATTTTTAAAATTTCTATGTTAATTGTGAATTTAAGAAAAACAGAAATATAGAGGTCAAAGTAAACAGAACATCAACATTTTATGATGAAGTATGATTATACTTTTAGTGATTATAAAAGTTCTGGAAAATATCCAATATAATTATAATTTTATAATTATATTGGATATAATTTATAACTAAAATATAATTTTAAAATATTAAAATATTTATAATTATTTTATAATTTTTTATTTACATTTAATATAATTATATTAGTATATTTTTCTCAGTTATCGATTTTTTGTTTGCTTTTACCAAATCTTTTTTCATTTTTTTTTTTCAGTTATATTTGCAGTTAATTTGTGTTTTATTTGTAGTTTAATTTTCACACTTTTACATGAGATCTGATGTAGCATGATATTTTTTGCAAGTAATAATTAATAATTCAGATCATTGATTTATTATTATATATCAATAATTGATTTATTTATCCATTGCATGATATTTTTAAAGAGTAAAGGTGATAAAAGAATTTACTTGATATTTATATGCAGAAAAAGTCTGCCCACATTTGTTAATTAAATAACCATCTTTTTAGAGAGGTAAAATACCTGATTTTATTATCAATTTGATGCAAGCTGGTTATTTAGTCTAAATAACTTTTTGCTGAAATTACTTGATAATAGAATAGAGTTAAGTTTACTATTAATTTTTACATATTATTTATTTTTCATGTTAAAGTTCCTGGAGTCTATCATTATAGAATCTGCTATCTAGAGTCTTGAGTAAAATAATACATTATACCTATAGGTTCAAAAATCATAGATTATAGAATTCTTAAAGTTCTGCAATTTTTTTTTCATCGGCCTCTTTAATGTTTTTGAATTATCTTAAATGTTTTATAAATAATTTTATCATTTTCCTTTATTGCAAATATAAAATATTTTTAAAATATTTGTTATTTAAAAAATTGTTATATTTATTTTTCATTTTATCTTTTTGACCGTATCTCAGGTTACATAACCAAAAGCCTCTTTCCAAAAAAAAAAGAAGCTTTTTACCAAACTATAAAAAAAGGTATTGTATCTCCAAAAACTCAACTCATAATATTTTAATTAAGATAAGTTTTTAGTGAAAAAATCTGTACAAAATGAAAAAGTTGTTTGACAAGTTTTTTTTCCCAGCAATGTCAGCTTTTGTTAAGGGTATTCTCTCTCACGGTGGGTTGATAATGCCTTTGTCATAATAATATAATCTAGCCACTTAAGCCATTTTTACAAGTTTTATTGCTTTAAGTAATAAAAGTTGATATTTTGACGCAAATTAAAAAAATTGGCAAACTGAGAAACAACTTGGAACTTTGAACAACTAGAACTTTGAAGTCAATTAAATAAATGATAATTACTATTGTGAAAAATGTAAATCAGAGTAAGGACTCTTTCCAAAAATAATTGCTTTTTACAAAAATAAAAAAAAAAGTTTACCAAACTATAAAAAAATGTTTTGGCATATAACAACACAGCACTCTAAGAGTGATTCTTCAGCATGATAAATAAATGAAAAAACTTATGTTAAGCATGCATGTTCTACAAACAAATTCATTACTTTAATTTAAAAAAGTATTTTTTTAAAAAATGTTATTCTAATTCACTTCCAGCAAGGCTGCAAGCAACTACTATTAAGTTGGGAGTTACTAGAAAAAAAGAATAGAGTTATAGAGCAAGGAAACAGTTGATAGAAAACTTAAAAAGTTGAAGGTCGCATGAATCAGGAAAACACGATGATGGGAGAGAGTTGATAGGGCGGGGCTACACCCCCCTTCCCCTATCAACTCTCTCCCAAAGGGAATAATAATGACTAGAAAGTTTTTTAATTAATTGTGTTTTTATTTTTTTAAAAGATATTTTCAAAATTTGCGCAGAGCGTTGCTACATTGACTATCTTATAGCCTGCTGCTACAAGGAAGTGTTGCTACATCAACTATCTAATAACCTGCTCCTACAAGAGTGTTGCTGCATTGACTATCTTATTGCCTGCTACTACAAGGAAGTGTTGCTACATCAACTATCTAATAGCCTGCTTCTACAAGAGTGCTGCTACATTGACTATCTTATAGCCTGTTCCTACAAGGAAAAGCCGCTACATCGACTGAAGGTTTGGCTTTGGCAAGCAACCTTCAATTTTTTTTTTTTAAATTATTATTTTTCTGGTCTGGTTTATTAGCATTTTCTTTAAAACTACAGTTTATGGTTGAAACCTTTTGAATATCATGCAAAACTATATATATATAGTATATATGTTACTGTTACCCGCAGTATCAGGAATTAGCTAAATGTTTATAATATAATATAATTTAAATTGCAACTCTGAGTTTCATGTGTTACCACAATTTTCAGGCAAGTAATAAAAATTTAATTTTGTTTCAATATGTTTAGTGGATGTTATGGTTTATATTTATATTTTAGATCACTACAGGACAAAAATTGTTTAGTAGTTAGGTTAATGTTATTATTAATTCAATTTTAGTTAGCTAATAGTTGTGAAATAGTTAAATGTTTTAACGGTTGTTTAAAAATTTTTGTTTACGAGATTACATGCATTATTTATATATTAAAAAATATATAAAATTAAAAACTGATATAAAAATATAAATAATATTATAAAATATATAGCAATAGATGTGTGTGTGTGTGTGTGTGTGTGTGTGTGTGAGAGTAATTTATTAGTTAACCTAGAGATATATGAAGTAGAGTAATATAGTTACTGTTAGATGTTAGTTAGGTTTGTATTGAGCTTTGTAATTTTTTCATATGAATTTGTTTTTGTGGCGGCATTTTGATATTATTTCTGTCCTTTTATTTAGCAGTTCCTCATGTTTTGGGTACGATATAATAGCAAATTTCTCATATAGACATAATGGGCACCTTTTAGAAATATTTGAGTAGGGGGGTACAGACTTCAGTATAGACCATGTTAATATAGGGGATTCGTTAAAACTGTTTTTCAAATCCTAGATGTAGTTTGATAGGGTAGTGGACTTTTTGTATTTAACATTACTGAATGATGGTGGGAAAAATTTCCAAAAATTAATAAATGTTCACCCCCCCCCCCCCCCTTATTCAGGACTCGAGAGTAAATGGGAAAACTAAAATCTTTTTTTGAAATCATTACATGTTGCCAACAAAATACAAACAATGATTACACTGAAAAAAAAATTATGTATTTACTCTTTCACATTTATTTCATGTATACGCTTTAATAACTCCTATATTGTTTGCTTTAGTTATTAGAGTTTTTGTTACATAAACTAAAAAACTTAAATTTATTTGGTATTCACTTTATTAATCAAAGCATTTCTCCATCATGCTGTAATATAGCTCATATGCTAGAATATGTTTTTAATAAAATTTGCGGTTATGAAAATACCTTTTTTTTAAGATGGTATCAACCAAAGCTCAACTTGATTTTAATAAAATTAAACACGATTATACTTGTCAAAATGATTATACTTGTCAAAATAACTTGATTCAATTTCTACAATTTTTCCAACAACCAAAATTGATAGTGTTTCTTGAAAAAAATCTGCTTTGTCAATATTTTGAATAACATATCTTTTGATAAAAGTTACTAAATATTTTTAGACTTGAAATTGAGGTTAAGTATGATTTTCAAAGTCATATTCTACAAGAGGTGAGGTTTTATTAGTAGAATTTTTAAAAAATTCTTTCTAACCAACAACTTTATAAAATTTTTGATTAAGTTTAAACAATTTCTTTAATACTAAAACAAAGTTTTCAACCATTTTTTTTATTAGATTGAATAACTGCGAAGAATTATCTTATGAAAATGTCTACATTAAAACCTTGTAAATAATATATGAAAGTATGTAAAGTTCGTTTTCAACATTTGTACATTAGATGAAGGCGGAAAGGTTAGGGCTATTGCTCTTGACATATCTAAGGCTTTCAACAAAGTTTGGCATGCTGGTCTTCTCCAATAGCTAGTTTTATATGGTTTATCTAGGATAGTTTTTAGATTATCAAATCGTTTCTTTCTAACCACTTTACTAAAGTCATCCTCTACACTTTTTTTTTATTTCCAGTAACTTCTAGGATACTTCAAAGTTCTATCCTTGGTCCTGCTTTGTTTCTTATCTACATTAATGATCTTCCTGAAAACCTTACATATAAAGAACCCCTTTTTGCTGATGACTCAACTTTATATTCCTGTCTTGACAAAAACTCCTCTTTTGATCGTTTTGAACATACAGTTGATCTTGAATCTGATCTCACTTCTGTAACAGGTTGGGGCTCACAGTAGCTTGTAAACTTTAAATCCAACAAAACTCAGTTATTTACTGCAAACAACTATTAATGAATGTACTGTCAACATTCCTATATTAATCAATGGCAACCCTCTTACTGAGTACTCTTCTTTATGTCTTCTTGGATTATTCTTTTAATGATATATATGTATATATAGCTTTTATTGCGTATTTAGATAAGCATTTGTTCACTAGTTTTGCTTATCTTTATAGCATACAGAGTTTTCAGAAAAAGGAAAAAAAAAAGAAGAATAATGAAAGAAAAGATTGCTGCCCCACCCCAAACTCTTAGTTGATGTAGCAGCACTCTGCTGCGAGTCAGGCTACTTGTCATTCGATGTATGTACTGAAGCCCCCGGCAGCAGTAACTAAACAAGTTAAATATATATATATATATATATATATATATATATATATATATATATATATATATATATATATATATATATATATATATATATATATATATATATATATATATATATATATATAAACATCATTTTAAATAAACCTATTTTATATCAACATAAAAAAATTTGTTGTTTCAGGAAGCTGATACTGGCCTTAAGGCTTCAGAAGCAGAGCATATTAAGTTGATTGGTCAAATTCCTCCTATTGATAAAATGGATGCATCTCTTTCTACACTTACAAACTGTATGTAAGTGTCAATTTATAATTTTTATTTTGTTTTTCAAATAACTCTAATTAATGTTTACTTTGCCTTAAAAATATTCATTGGAAAAAAATATTAAATTAAAAACCAAAAAACATAATAGTATATCGGTTTCATGATTTTGCGATTGTTAAAAAATTATAAATACAATATTTTGATGGAGGTTTAACTAACTTTTTAGTTAAATAACTTAATTAGAAACTTAAATTGACATACCTTGTTTTAATTTGTTATATAGAACTTTATTTTTTAAATTTTTTCTTTTATTGGTTTAAAAAAATCAAAATGCTTATTTTAGTTAGAACAAACTTTGGACTTCCCTTTTGACACCCTGAGTATAATTTTTATAAAGTTTAATTGTTTAACTATCATCAGGAGGTAAAATTAATCAGTAACAACAAGTATATATCAAAATATATTAATGGACATCCCCAGTTTTATTATACTAGACTGTTTATCATTTTATTAACTTGCATTTTAAGTAATAAATAAGGAGAGAAAAGATTTCAAATATGGAAAATAAAATTCAGACTTCTCTTTTGCCATACACCCTGCCTAATTTGTGTTTTATTAAATTAATTTATTTTATTAACCATATAACATGGCCAATGATCAGTTCAAAATGTCGCTTAATTCATAAGTTTATATAGCATTATAAAGGAAAAGTTAGTATGTTAAGGAAAAGCATCATTTCTTTTAAAATTAGGCAACCAAATATTATATAAATTGTGTAGAATTTTTGATATCACGATATCCTTTGGATACAAGAAAGGAAGACAGAGGGTTATTACAAGTAGAAGCTGTTTATAGTTGCATCGATAAAAACTAATATTTGTTCCTTGGTTTTCTTTGATAATCAAGAAGAAGATTTTAGACTTATTAAGTATAAATTTTGTTTAGCCATATTGTTTATCCTTTATTAGAATCATGATAATTGTAATAGGAACTATGATGAATCACATAATAGAGAAACTTGTTTATTTATTATTATTTTTATAAAAGTATTTTAATAAAAGCTATTGCTGATTTTTCTTTGGATTTTATAAAATGTAAATTTGTGGCATGGATATTTTACAAAAGTTTTTTATACCTATGGTTTTCTGTCTCAAAGAATGTCATTATTGGTGCAGCCTCTGCTATTGCTTCTTCTACTGAAGTTAATAACAAATTTTGATTTTATTATTGCACTGTGTATAACAAGACATGTTTTTAATATAAGTTTTTTAATTACATGGTTGTGCAAGCAAGTAATAATGATATTTTTTATAGTTTAAATCTTATTCAAGCATTAAAAGATTTTGTCTCTATAGTTAGAAATATTATTAATCAACACTTCCAAATATGTTTTAAACAAGCCTAAAAATTGCATTTTAAATTATTTTAACTTGGTTATCACTGTTTCTTTACTAGACTATCTGATTACTGAGTTTAACATAATGTTTGATTGATACAATTTTGAAGTGTTATAAAGCACCTGTGTTTTAATTTCTTCTTTCTAATATTCAATTTCTTCTAAAAACAATTGCAGAAATTCAATGTTTTGTTATACTAGTTGGGAACACCAAATCATATGTTTTAGTGTCTTTTGTTTAACCAAAGGCTTTAATAAGTTTGTTTATTATTTCTAAACCGAAGGCTTTATTACTTAAATTTGACCTGTGGAAATTAAGTTGAATTTCACTTAACTGCCTGAATTTCAAAAATGAACTTTAATCTAATAATACTGAAACATTACAAACAACAAACTTTTTCTTTACTGAGGTGTCTTAAAGGCTA